GCATTTCAATTCAGTGAGAATGTGTGGAGACTGCTCTGGGCTCCATCATACTAGAAATATATGTTCAAATAAATATTGGACACATAGTCATAGCAGCATTATTCAAATAGCCCCAAAGTGAAAACAACCCAAATGTCCATCAAATGGTGAATGGATAAGCAGTTCCACCTGAAAGGGAATTAAGTACTGACACATGCTAGAGCCTGGATGAAACTTGAAATGTTATGTAAGTGAAAGAAGCCAGTCACAAAAAGCCACATACTGAATGATTCCATTTGCATGAAGTATCCTGAATAGGCAAATTCATGAGACAGAGAGTAGATTAGTAATCATCAAGGGCTGGGAAGAAGGAAGAATGGGAAGTAACTGCTAATGGTATGGGTTTTGAGTGGGGAGTGATGAAACTGTTTTAAAATTAAATATTGATGATGGTTCACAACCCTGTGGATATACTTAAACCAGAGATAGGGCACTGAACAATCATAAAAATATATGTCTACACTCAAATACTTCATTCTTTAAAATAATTAAACAAAATATACTGAAGAACATGGCAAAACATTTAATTTATTTTTATAATTTGTCCTCAAAGAAGAGTTAATGTGATTATACTCAAAACAACACACCTGTACAAAGACTGACTTAACTAATCACAGGCAGAGCTTTTGGCCCTAAAGATTCTATAGTTAAGCTGCAGGTGGTAACCATATAGTTCAGAGAAGAGAAGATGTATGTTTCATGAATTAGAGAAGAATTTTCAAAAGGAGTTGGCACCTATCCTAAACCTGAGATTAGAAAAGAACAAGGAAAGAAAGGGATTCTCTGAAAGACAGAAGAGCATGGGCAAGGATGGTGCAGGACTGAGCCCCAGATGGAAGAAGGGATGTGAGCAGCCATGCGGGAAGATGCCGTGGCAGGGTGGCTATCTGTGTCAGGGCTGCTTGTGTCTGAGGCTGCTCGTCACAGGGTCATGACAGGGCCATGTCTGCCCGTCTCACAGCCAGCACGTTTCTTCACTGTGCAACCTTGGAGAGATCAGCCCACTGCCGCGAGTCCTTGCCAAGGGGAGGTCCTAGTGCATAAGTATCTGTATACCGGAGCACTGGGTTCTATTCATGCTCACATTTTCCCATAGGTAGAATATTCTATCCTCACCTCCTTAGAGGAGGTGACACATTTTGAAGATTGGGAAATGAATCGCAAAACAGAAGTGAAATGACTTGCCCAGGGGTTTGCCAATCTAAGACTAAAACTTGAATCAGGTCTCCAAACCTCCCTCCTTTATACACTTACGTCCTGTGACAGAGATGTCCCCATGCTCGCCTTGGCTGGAGGAGGGCGACTGTCCAGTGACGGCCAACTGCTCACTATCTGTGCATCCCCCATGCAGTGTAGCTTCAGCAAAACAAAGACACCTTCCCTATAAAGCACAATGAAGGCATTAAAGTGATTTTCTCATTTATTTAGAAATAAAAACAAAATGAAATCACAACAATACTCTTCTGAATGTGATTTAAAAAATGTTTTTCAAGCAACTAATGTAATATAAGCTCCTGCTTAAAATTGAGGCACTGACCATGTATCAGTCTGAGAAATCTGGTGGAGGTCACATTCAGACACTTGATGGGTTGGAAATGATCGTGACTATTAGTTAACAGTCCCTGTTGTGAGGCCCATTGACTTCTCAAGCTGGGACTGATTGATTACTGCTGACACCAGCATCTCTGTCTTCTTTTTTGAACAGCTGGGATCGGCAATGCTGTTACAGGAAGCTGTGCTCAGCCCAGGATAGGATAAGTGGCCTCTTTTTTAGACTTTGAAAGTGGCCTTTGGTCAATTGAGAAATGGCCCTGATGTACTTGGAATGAAGTCTTCTGTGGTCATGTTAGCCAGCAGAATGGTGGCTGTGGCAAAGCCACCAAGACAACCCACTGCAGAGTAGAGGAACCAGAAAGTGACAGGGCGTAGTCTACGCTGGCTGAATAGTATAGGCCTGAAATGACAAGCAAGCCTGCATGCATTGTTTCATAAATAAAAATGGTAATTTTTATTTCCAAATGCCCAATCTCTGCACAATAGTCCGCTTGTAAAACTACCTCCAGAAGAGGAGCTCGGCTGAGTTCCAGCCCAGTCTCAGATCCATTTCATGCCATTGAGCTGTACTAATTGTCGACCAGACGGTTTATAAAAGAGAACAGGAAGTCTGCTGTGGCCAAGGCAATTTGTCGTGGTCTGAAAGCATCCAATTCTCAGAAAAGAAATTCTCTGTAACCTTAACAAATATGACTCTGTATAGTTTTCTTTTTTATTTGATAAATTTATTTTTGCTTCAAAGGAGACACATTATAGAAGTCAAATGTGAGCAGAAGTACCACAATTTTTACAGTTGAAACTGGTGGCTTCCTGCTTTTTCAGGCAGCTTCTCCAGTATTACCACAAAATATAACAGACCAATAACTTGTTATAGGCTTTTATTTTAATGTGTATTCCTTTTCTTGTATCTTCTGTAACCTGTGCAAAGTATTAGATGTGCTATAATTCCATGCATGTTGTAAAATAATGTTTTAGATTTATCTCTAAATTTAAACTGGGGTGACTCAACCCCAGTTGTCATTTCATAACCAGAGGTCATCAGGAATCACTCGTAACCATTGCACACATGACTGTACACATGATCTGTTTTTATGACTCCAGCCTGAATGAATTCCCAATCTCATACATGGCATATGAGCATTAGCTTAGGTATGGGGACTCTATCACTACTACATGACATCATGAATCAAGTAACCATGTAATTATTATTACTGAAAACCTGAGCTCACATTTTAAAAGCTTACCATTAAGAAAAAGATGCTTTTTAAACTAGCTCAGTATTCACTCTATTGTACAGAGCAGTGATCTTAGTGGGATGGTAGGTTTATAGTATAACTGAACGGGAAGGTTACATTTGGGCCATGTTGCTCTACTTTCCATCACACTTAGAGTATTTAGAACAGCTATTATTTTTTTCAAAAGACACAAAATCAATAGACTATAGTGCATAATGAAAAAGAGGAATCTTTAACTTTTTATATAAAGCTTTTATTATAAAATAGTGGCTGAAATCTAGAAAAAAAATTATTTGAAGAAAAAAATCCTGATCTTATCAACAGATTACAGTATGTAATGTCCCCTGAAACCAAACAAGTAACACTGTGTATCTGTGAATTATCTGTCCAAATAGGAAGTAAGTTATCCCCAAATAATGGAAATCCAGCAAAGCTCAATTTAGGCGTGCCTTTAAGTCTTCTACTCCAAACTGTAATAGAGTTTATTTGCTATTTGTCTAACAGAGTGAATAACATAAAAGAAGCAAAATGACAGAGGAAACTCAAAAGGAATGAAAAAATGCAAAATCTAAATAATAATAAATCTTAAGTTGGTCCTATCATACTTCCCGTGGGAAGGGATGTCTCCCTGTGTGTGGACCTGCACTTTGCTTGAATTGATGGTCACTTCCTAACTGTTCACATAACTGCAATCAAATCCTAGGGCAAACGCACTGACCAAGGGAGCTCAGTCCATAGCTGTATTTCAGGATGAGCACTGATTTTTTATTATGAGGTATCTTGACCATAGTGTTCTCATTAATTTTTAATCTGTAATCTGATTAGACTCACATGACATTCTTCCTCTTTCACAGTGTTCAAGCCCATGTTCCCCTTACAGATAAACTCACACACCACATACTCTCATCACATGCTCACACAGAACACACATATGCATACGCACACATGCTCAACACCTTCAACAAATCAGTAGGTACACCCCCAACCAAGCACTGAGGTTATAGCAATAAATAAACAGACCAAATGTCTTGCCCTCATGGAGCTCACATCAGGGGTAAAGAAAGAAAGGATTTGAAGAAAATAGGAGTCTAGGTTTGGAAGAAAAGTAATGATGCTGCCCTTGGTAGCAGAGCTTACAGCTGCCGTGAACCCAGAAGACTGAATTCCCTGGACCCCTCTCTTTCCCATCTTCCCCCCATTAGGGAGGGATTTGAGACTTTCATCTGTTCCAATAATTCATCCAAAATACCCCTTATCTAGAACAGTTCAAATGAACTTTATTATGTCTGACTAATCATTTGTGGGTTGGTAATTTACAAAACAAAAGACCCCAATGGTTAGTACCAGGTATGTGAACAGACTCATCATTCCAACATTCCTGTAATCAAAAGGAGCAAAGACTGAAGAGAGCTGGAAGCTGGTGATGGAAAGTAACTGTTTTACGACCTCCCCTAATCCCCAGCTGGATAGAGCTGAAGATGTATACAGAGGAAACAAACTGTGAATTCTGTGTTAGACGTTTTGTTTTAAGAGATACTCTATACTTTCAGTTCATGTATATTCATTTAACAGAAGGTTGTTTAGCATTGAAGTTGAAAATACTTTGTTCATTTTAACAACAATAACAAAAAAGACACCAGAAACATGACCTGTTTTCTTCAAGGCACAGATATACTAAACACCCTTTCTTGCCTCCCATCCCTAATTGTAGTTACACACACACACACACAAATAGTTCTGAAAAGGGCTAAATTTATCCTGTTGATATTCAGGAGATTATTTATAGTAGGATTCATTAACAATGATTTTGTATATCTTCTTCTTTATTTTATATTTTTTTTATCATTAGCAACAATAACAAAAGATACCAATAGAAATGAACCAGCCACAATAGACAGATGTCCAAATTTTCATTTTCTGCAGGGAAGGAAAGAGCTTAAAATCATGAGCTTCACTGATAAACAGTAATTGTAATAACACTGGTAAGCGGTAATAAAGGAGGGTTTGGATTTTCTCTCCTAGAGAATAAATTGGCAAGAACCAAGGAAGTGTCTTGAAATCTCTTATCCTTAAACGCTAAGATGGAAAAGACGTCCCTGCTGTTTTTGGTATAGAGGTGTGCACAATGTTTTTAAGTTGGAGGGCTTAATTTCTTTTCATTGTTTCTCTCAGACAGCCACAGTTTCGTGGGACATCCGAACGTTGTACTCAACAGTACCTGAAGACGCAGAGCACAAAGCAGAAAGTTTACTGGTGAAAGAGGTAAATGTGATGCTTCCAATCCTTTCTTTTATAAATCTCTTTCCCTCAGGTAGTTATTAATACAACTTTATTATCATTGTCTTCCTCACCTTTTCGATAGAGATTAGTTGATGTCTTTCGATCGTCATTGCCTGAAGATGTGTTCCATTTTCCTGTTAATCATTTTTCATTATCTGCTCACTATTCAACTTTTGGGATTTTTTTTTTTGTTTTGCTTCTACTTAACTTAAAAATTCCACATTAAGAAATGTTTTAGTATTCTTAATAGGCAGATTTAATTTTATTTTAGTTATTCGGACTGAGTTTTAGGCAAGGCCATGCTATGTGAGAATTTTTTATACCAGAGTTCCCATTTTAAGAGATATAGTTCTTTCAAGTACTAACTATGAAAATATTAATGTGAACAGCTGTAAGGGACTGATAGAAGCATGTTGCTATGTCATCTACTTGCATTTGAAGGATGTAGGGAAGGCCTCCAGCACTGCTGCTTCTCCTAACCAGAGAGCAGGTTGCTTTAGGGCAGGAATTGGGCTAGCACAGAACAGCTACTAGCAGGTGGTTATTGAATAAATAAATGGAGCCAATCCTTCCTTTATGGAAAAAGCAATGATAAAACTTAGCCGAGCACAGGTCAAAGTAAAAGTATTGAAGTCTAAATGCAGTCTTTAATCCTGAGAAAGTAGTGTATCCCAATTAGGATTTAGTTAAAGGCACACACAACAGCAAAACCCTTTCACAGCTCCTAAACATATTTGTATGAATATAAGTTAGCCTTATTTGTGTACCTATTAATACCAAGCTGAGTAATCATATTTTATATTATACTATTCTTTTTTACATATACATGTGTGTACATGTATATCCATATATAGGATAGATCTTTATATTGTGCTATTTAATTCAGGTTACCCTTTGCCATAAATTTACCTGTTTATTTTTTTCCAATTCCATGATTTTATATTTATTTCCTAAAGTTCACATTAAATTACAGAGTCTGTCTTAAGGAGGTAGAAAAAAAAAGTGCAAAGTTAGATAACATCAGGTAATCTGAGTGTACTATTTTCATATTTACTAATAAAAATAATAAGTGTGATGTCAGTATTATAATATTTTATTTACAGTCTCCTTATGGGAAGTTTTGATATCTACTAGGGCATCACTGTTTAAAAAAGAGTTGGAAAATTATTTTCTAATCAAGGAATTAGAATCATTGAGACTAGGTCTACAAAATCATGCAGTACATGTATGTTAACTTAGGTAGGGTTTGAAATGTTTAGGACTTTGAATTCCTAACGGAATATTTAACCAGGTTTTCTTGCATGGTGTTCACAAAATATTGTACATTCTTCATAATGATCTGTAACACTGTTGTTAAGTTCATTTCAGTGTATTTTACAGTTTTGCTAAAAATAAGTGGAATGTAAAAAGTTCATTTCCTTTTCTTAGTGTCCATTGCTGCTATCTTTTAAAAGCTATTAATTTTCAAATATGCATAACTAGCTTACTAACCTCTCCTATCCTAATAGTTCTTATTTGTTTTTAGATGTGTAGTTATATCATCTGCAAATAAAATTTCTTCTTTTCTAATAAGTATATTATTTATTTAATTTTTGTATTATTTTATTATCTAATGTCTTTAAAACAATTTTGACTAATAATGCTCATATTGGGCATCCTGTCTTATTGGTGTTTTATTATATTTTTTTCTGGCATAAAAAAAGTGTCAAAGAAGGTCTTGGTCTCTACAGTCCTTATAAACACTTGCTACTTAGGTTTTGAAATGCATATTCAGTCTTTGATATAACAGCTCTTCTACATGAATTTGCAAAAGCACTGTAATAGAATTAGTGGGTCGCTATTCAGTGGATCCACACTTGCATTTCTGGTATAAACTTTTTGTTCCAGTTGCATTATTACCTTCATACTCTACTACATTAGAATTGTTAATATTTTATTTAAAATTTTTGCACTAATATTCATGAATGGAGTCTGGCTGTTTTTTTTTCTTTTTATCCCCCTTTGGTATTAGAGAAATGCTAGGTTTAGACAATAAATTGAGATAGTTTCAATTTTTAAATATTCTGGAATACACAAATATCCAGTGAAATGAAACAGAGTATCTAGAAACATCTACGTGCATATGGTTTCTTAATAAATGGGAAATATGGCACTTGAAATTCTTTAGGGAAGAGTGAGCAATTCAACAAATACAAAGTGGCTCACCATTTTAGATGAATATAAAGTTAGGATTCTCTATCTCACATTACATATAAAAATAACTCCATATAAATATTAAAAACGTGATTGATTAATTCCAGACATGTATAAAAAATTGTTAAAATGTAGGATAATGTTTTAAGTGGAAACTTAAAATGGACAAATTTAAGCAAATAAAAATTTTAATATTTATATGATAAATGGTACCATAAAGCCAGAAGACAATACTTAACCACAGAAATTATTTGCAACTCATTATATCTTTTGTTACATACACACAGACACACATGCTCCTTAATAGACTGGCTTGATGAGAATATTGTATGTCCTTCACTTGACAAACGTGTAAGCTTTCTGCCTCGGTTTCTCCATCTTTAAATAGAGATATTAATAATCCCAATGCTGTATTTCTAAATCTAAATATAGCAATAACATGAAAACATTTGGAAAATAACAATTGGGGAGCAATGTCTTTATCTGATCCTCCTAAGTGACTTAAAATCAACATCTATAACCACAAAAAATATCAGACACTTCCCTGATAAAACAAGCATCACTTCCTGCCACTGGGGCTTGGGGGAGCAATTAAAGGATCTATAAATAGGATGAAGACTTCCTAAGCCAAAAAATTCTAGAGCAAAGTTTTCTTTGAATATGTTCAAAAGGATAATAGAAAGCCAGAAACACAGAATGCTAATTAAAACTAAGCTCTTAGTTTGGACTTTTGAAACAAAGAAGATGAAAGAGCAGAGACTTGAGAATGATAGAGTGGCCTAAGAGGAGCAACGGTCTAGGGACCACTTCAGCAGAATGGCTGAGAGAAACACTGACAAGGTAGTAAGGTAGCAAGTTACTCTGCCAACAAAGCCCTTGGCAGTTTCTGGAAATCAGTCAACTGCAGGAGTAGAGCAATGATAAAATGAGGACTAAGTTGTGAATCCAAGAGCCCACGTCTCATTTGGATCCAAGACTCCAAGTCAAGACATAAAATATTCCAAGATTTAAGATTTATGAAAACATTAAATAGTAGAAGCAAATACCTATCTGTCTATCCATTTATCTATGCGTGCGTGCGTGCGCGCGTGTGCGCACACACACACACACACACACACACACACACACAATTATACACTGCCCTCATCAGATATTACTAGGTTACTGAGGGAGGAAAATTTTAAGCAGAGGTAAACCTACAAATAATATTGGAACTCTTCAGGCAGACTATCTTCTGCATACCAAAGTTAAAAATAGTTCACTAGGCTATTAAGTTATGTATAAAATATTGCTTAATTTATTAAGAAACAGAATTTAGTGAACATGAAAAACAATACAATCAAATGAATATAATATTGAAAATGAAATTTCTTCCTCTTCTTCCTCTTCCACCATTTGGACCCAGACAAACGGTATACAACTATTCCAAGAGAAAATTATGTGTATGCAAGGTAGAATTTGTATCATATTGAGAAGTAAAAGAGATATTAAAAAACTTGAGTCCTAGACATAGTGAAGAAAATTATGCGGACAGAGGGATTGGCCATGATTTTAAATGTACTTCATGCTGCCCATTTTTGTTGAAAGAAATATATCAAACTAGAATGAGATTTGTCTTGGTTCAAGAAAACACAAGGAATAAAATTTTTACTTTTACAATTAAAATAACTTTGTCTTTTATATTTAATTTTAGACAGCATATTATGTACGGTGTTAAAGAAACCATTCTTTTGACAAAAATGCCTTTGTACTTTATACAAAAATTTTAAAACTAATACGTAAAATTATGTACACTCAAACTTACCCTGAAGTAAGAATAAATCTTTGAGTAAGTGATTCTGGGGTTTTTTGCATGTATAAATAAATTAAGTAAAAATGAAGGCTGTTTCCTGATTCTGAATCATTGGGTAGCAAATGAATGATTCTAATGTATTCATTAACTTCAGACCAGAGCATGATAAGCATGGTTTTGCTCACTGTAGAACAATGTCTTTGACAGGACACCAGGGCTACATGTACAAATTAATTCAGTGGAAGGTACAGGGAAAATGCAACTATAAAAACCTCCCCAAATTAAAAAGTCACAGTTCTTTCTTAATAAAATTAGTGAGAATAAAATGATTTTGACTTTTTGTTTTAAAGAATGGGGTTCTTTCTTAATTCCCTGATAAAGGTCTTACTAGAGGCTAAGGGACTTTTCATTTTGTGTGTATTTTTTAAAAGTAAATTTATAAGTAAAGCCACTTACATATGGTGACTTCAAGAATTTAATGGAGTCCGGATGGAGTGGCTTAGTAATTGAGCATCAACTATGAACCAGAAGGCCATGGTTCAATTCCTGGTCAGGGCACATGCCTGGGTTGCAGGCTTGATCCCCAGTACTAGTACACATATATATATATGATTTTATTTCTGTCATGGCCAGAACAAAGTGGATTACCAGATTTTCTTTATACTAAATGCATAACATTAAAGATAATAAGCATATGAAAGTTCATTAAGGTAAATTAAAATGCATTATCTTTTCAGTGGCATTAGGATAAAATATATATAAAAAAACACTGATGAAAACAAAATGGTTTTGTGGTTCACTTTAACAACTGTGAAGAAATTTATTTTCTAGTCACCAAAGACTCTAGAATAATATAGTCTAGTTTCTAAATATGCAAAACTGTTCCAATTGTAAATTGGCTTCCCCTTCTCCACAATAAAAAGTATCCTATAATGTTTGATGATAAATAGTTAAAAAGAAAGAAGTGCAAGTTGGAGACCCTGGAGTGCTAGAATAA